TGTAACTAACAAAACTCACCATTGTTGTCATGTTAATTAACTCCAAAGAAAAACTTCATTAAATCTAACATCTTTGTCTCAACTTTTCGAACAAAATTTACTATTTTCTCTTTCTTAAAATTTACAGATGACATTTATAAGTAAGATCAATTTTTTGTTTATTAAAGTTTTAAGCTAGAAGAGGTCCAAGACCAATAAAAATTCATTGTGAAGTAGTGGTTTTTTTTTGTTATAAACGCGTAACTGTTTTTTCGAAAGAACTTTTTTGAAAAGTCATATTAAAAAAAATGCTTCTAAGAATAAGTCGTTTTTAGCAACAACACAAAACATATTATTATTTATTAACAAAATCTCATCAAAATAGAAGAAAAAACATTTTTAATTTACATGAAGCATATACAATAAATCTTAATTAGAAGTCCTAATTAGTTTTTTTTTTTTGTGAGGGTTATTTTAGAGTTAGAATAATTGTATTGACTTTTCTTTTGTGAGAGTTAAGTTAGGGTTAGGGTAATCAAATTGACATATGTACATGTTTACACATATAACTTGTATAAGGTTCTTTTTTTCAATAATTCTAATATATATATCAACACACGTTCATATCAATATACATGGACTAATTTTTCTAAGATATTCGTACAGAATATAACACATTTCTTTGAAAAGCGAACTACTTAATAGTGAAATTGGTAAGCAAAAACAAATGATATTCACAAACAAAACATCAATAATGAAAATACAATAACAAAATAGTTGATTTATAAAATTCACTCAATGCTCATTCATATGATAAATCTAAATAATTAAAACATTTAATGGAAAAAACTTCTAATAGTCTGCTTTTGATTCTGAACTGCATTTTAATAATAGTAAAATTGATTATTTTTAAAAAAAAAACTGCTTCTAATATGCTCATGCTCTATTTTTAGACCACTAATTCTATTGAGACATGCTACATAAACAAAGCTTCAAATGATTCAGAACCATTGACAACAATCTTCTTTCTGGTTCCTTCCAATTGCTCCTTCAACATTAACAATAGATTCAAATTTTGACATCCTTCCACATCTATATGCTCCACCCAACCACGGAGACCATTCCCCTTGGGGGTCGATGATGATTTTGACCCCGAAGATTCGCCAGAAACATCATAAGAGGAATGATGAGAATTCATCACTGATGTTGATATTTCTGAGCGATTACAACTAGAAAAATGCTTCTTTATAACAGAGTTAACATCTCCGTAAGTATAAGGAATGCCAGAAGGTGAAAAAACAACGGAGGTAACACGAGAACTTGTCAAGGATTCAAGTTCTTCAGCTTTTCTGAAAAGTCCTTTCTTTCTTTTTGAAAATGTCGCCAGTCTAGCCAATTTTTTTGTGATTTTCTCAATTTCTATCTTCTTCTTCCCTGTTCCCATTCTGCTTAAATTCCTTGTTCTTCAAGAAGTAAGATTTGTTTTGAAATTTGGGATACTTTTAAGGTTTGGTGAAATGTTAATTTATAGGGAGAGATTGAAAAT